TTCCCCCCCCACCCCCAAAAAACTTCCCCTTTTTTTTTTTTTTTTTTTTTTTTTTGACTCTCACTGGTGACTCGGTGTTTTAATTACATGCCCACTGACCAACATGAGTTCCCATCATGCTGTAATGACAGCTGATTGGATACCACTTCCCGTGCGTGCTATTTACAGGTTAAGGAGAAGGCCGCGGTTTTACCTGGGCACCTAAAATATCTTTTAACCAAACAATAAACAAAAAGATGTTGTCCACAGTTTCCTCTCTAGTGTTTTTCTACAGCTTAAAGTCACTCTTGAGATAAAATAGAGCGGCTCCACTTGTTCACGATCTATAATATAAAATAATAATAATAAATAAAAAAATCGAGCAGATTTAGGAAAGTATAAATCACATAAATCACAAGAAGCCTGTGAGATTCCACTGAGCTTTGTTTTGAAAGCTGTGGTTGAGTGACACATTTTTCTCAGACTGGCATTCCGGGAAAGGACTCTGAGACAGGGAACACAGAGGCACTCTCTCTAAATGAGGGACTGACAGTGTTTGTCTTCTAAACTTTTACATGTCTAGGTGTTCTGTTAAGTTTGCCCTATGAGGCTAAAAACACACTACCTAGAGTGATTTTCCTGACATTTGCTCTGATTCTGTGTGTGTGTGTGTGTGTGTGTGTGTGTGTGTGTGTGTGTGTGTGTGTGTGTGTGTGTGTGTGTGTCTAGATCGGAACAGATGAGACGCGACTTGTGAGTCACGGTGGGTCGGCTGGAAAGTCAGACAGGAGGCGGGATAAAATAGGAAACAGGGGATCAATGTGGTGAAATGTGACTTAAGCAACAAAAATGCCGAATTATCTGCTAACTTGCATAATAGGCTTATGGAAAAATGCGCACCAGGTTGAACGATTGATTGTTACACTCGGAGCAGAACTCCTGTCGTTGAATTACACATAAACTGGCCTAAATGGCAACAATGTTTTGCCTTCTTACTAAATCCCTAAACTTCCCTGACATTCCTGATGTTCATGTCTGGATTTTCTTAAAGTCTTAAACTTTCTGTAGACTGTAAATTGGCTGGAAGGAAATGACAGAGCAGCCAATGGCCTCTTTGTGGCCATCTTGCATTGTCATTGAGCCCACTCTGCCACTGGGCTTAAGGTCTTAGTCACATAGGATTAGCCAACATATGGGTCATTTCTTCACTTTGCTTCAAAATCTATTGCTTTGTGTCATGGAGGAAGTTCAAAATCTTACATAACACCACAAAATGTCTGTTCTTTTTTTTTTTTTTTTTTTTTTTTTTTTTTTTCCGCGCTTTACATGAAAATTGTTTTCCAATTTGTCGTAAACCCAACCATTTCCTCTGCTTCTCACTGTTCAGGTCTTGTTTCTGGCAGCCACAACACCACCTTCATCTCCAGCGGTCAGGTGATGAACGTCACCGGTGACGTCATCGTCGTCTACGTCAGCCAGACGTCTCAGAGCAGCGACGAGGGCGGGCCGGACGGCGCCTTCGGGAGCCCCGTGCAGGAAGAAGCCAACGAGACGGCCCCGTTTTTCCAGAGCTGCCTTAGGTCCCCGGGGGACTCCATTTCCCATAGCACCTTGCGAGAACAGACTCTGCCAGTGCAAGAGATGATACTGGGAAAGTGAAGGGCGACGAGCAGCGGGTCCGAAGGGCGATCATCTCTGCAAGCTTAAAGTCTGTCGCAATCATGTAATGGGTTTATTGTTAAAATAACACCAAAGAAAGACAACGTTTGGTTTTCTTAAGTTTTACGTACATTTCATCTCTCGTATTGTTTCCAGACTTTCATAGTTGGAAACAATTTTCTTTCCAGACAGTGATGTGTAATTTTCTAGGGAACTGAGTTCATGCTGGGGGGGAAAAAAAAAAAAAAAAAAAAAAAAAAAGGTTTTTTTGTTGCATGGAAATTTCAGCTGGATCTTGACACTAATAGTTAATACATATCTAATTTCTCACTTTTCATCCTCCACACATAAGTCTCCAAACTCTTCTCTAAGTTTGACATCTGGATGATTTAAGAGCTTCCTCACGTAACAAAACATCCACCATGTGGAAATTATTTTCAATGTTTTTCTTTTTTTTTATATATATATAATTGAAACTGTACTCTGTTAGCCACACTCAGACCTGGCAGAACACAGAGTCTGTACAAAGAAGAAGAAGAAGAAGATGATGATGATGATGATGATGATGGTGAATTTTAAGCATTTCACTGAGTGAAGCTCGCTGAAGCCTATTGTTTGCATTACGAAAGCGCATCAAGTTCTGATCTGACAAATGTTTAATCTGTACAGAGACTTTGTTTGTTGTCTTCTTATTGCACCCGACGTGCAATTCGTGTCTACGAGAAAAATGCTATGCATTTGATAAGCTATTTTATTGCTGGATTGTTTTATTTTGCAAATTTTAATGAAGAAAATCAAAATGTTTTTAAAGATTGTTTTTCTAAAGGTAAATTCTTAATGCTCTTTGTCCAAAATTTCAGAAGTGATAGATGATTGTATATATTCTAAAGAAGCATTATCTATTTGTGAAAGAAGTACGAGTTTTCCTATGTTTGGTTTTCGGTGAGGAGGATGTGTTTGATCATGTGGTGCAACTGAGGCAAAATGCAAACCATCATAAACTTAAAGTTTAGTGGGCCTCTGAAAAAGGTTTGTTCTTGATGCTTTTACTTTCTAAATATCGTTTTGGCTCCTATTATAATGCAGTTCTCGTCAAACATGTTTTTTTTTTTTTTTACTTAAAGAATATGTGAAGCATCTATAAAATTTGTCAATATTTAATATGGCGCTTCACTGTTAAGCCTTACGCTTTCGTCATTTAACACTTTCACCAGTTGGGAATTACAATATTTCAGTTATTTTTACTTTCTTTTTATTTTTTATTTTTCATTTTTGTGTGCCATATGGGTGATTGATTAATGTGGGAATCATAATGTTTGTGTTTACAAAAGCTCTTTTGTGTTATTTACCTGGGTCCATAACTGTTTCAGGCCCCTTCAGGACCAAATGTGGCAAAGTCAGTGCTGAAATATTTTTATTTTATTGCCACAGTCATTGTTTCTTTCTTTTCTTTTTTTTCAAATATACATTTAAGTTAAGCCCACCATTATTTATACCCGTGACAGATTAATCCTTAAAGTAATGTTTTAATTTTACCTACATGTTTCTTCTGACGAGGTTATTTTTACGTTTTGGGTTCCCCAGCCAGAGTTGACTTCAATCTGATGGAAAAATATGTGGATGGAGTTAAAAATTAGAATGATTGAAATGAGGCCTTTCTCAAAGACTTGAGCTCATAATTGATGGAAATTCAACAAAAATCCCAGTAGCAATGTACAAAATGGATTACACTTCTGTAATATCAATTGTTAAACAAGGAGAGAAATAATTTTTGACCTGCAAAAATAAAATGTAAATATATGCTGATAGATTTGTTTTTTCTCCTAAACTTAACTTCCGAGTGACGCCTGTTTCATTTCCAATCAGAAACAAAGTTCTTGGTTGAATGAAAATAATTAAAAATCTAAATCTGTTAGACTATGAAGACATTTGTGCTTACGGCTTTCAGTAGAAGCTAAGCCCTTAATTCGGCTGTGAAAGCAGCTTCTGATTATTTTGCCATGTCACATACTATCACATCACATTCATACAAAAGGTGAAATTGGGAAAATTTACTCACATTTTCACTTTTTTGTGTAAAAAAAAAAAAGTCCAGATAAAACAGTGACCTTGAAGACTGCTTCACTTTCAAAACTGTCAAAAAAAAAAAATTGCATGTAAACTGGGATCTTTTCACCTGCCAACAGAAACGCCAGCTACTATTTTTCCCGTGCACTCTAAAACAACCGAGTGGGATGTGCAAAGCGTGTCGACGTTTGGCCCTGAAAGAGCCTGTGTCTTCTGGGAAGGACTAAAGGAAAACCTTTGAAGAAAACAAAACTAAGCTTTGCTATTGTCTTGCTGGGTTCACTGCACTGATCAATCACAACCTCTCCATGTGTACGCAGCTTTTAACAAATCATGTACATATCAATCAACTTTGATGCAATGGATAAATGAAAGACTATTTTGATTAAGATTAAATATGTTTCAAAATTAAAGTCTGAGTCTTTTTTTTTTTTTTTTTTCATAGATGGCAGCCATCCGGCATTCTGTGGTTGCTCTCTGTCAACTTTCCTATTTTGGGATGGACAAATTACAATGAAAGAGTCCTCCTCCCGATGATCTATAATCGCTATGAAGCAAGGCTAATTATATATGTGGCAAGGTCCCTTTTGTGTTTGTCCCAGCGCTGACAGACAGACAGCCTTTCATCAAGCCAGGGGATGGCGAGCAGCTGTGAGGAGAAACTGCTCGAACAGTCAGACCAGCTAGCGTCAAAGGGAGACCACATGAGAGGAGCTGGCAGAGCTCAGTTAGGCCTGGTTTGGGTCAGCAGGGGTATGTTTATATATGCGTGTGTGTTTGTGTGCGAGTGAGTGCGGATCTCTGCTTATTTATATGGTTTCTGGAGAAAACAGGAAGTTATGACTAGCTTTCACATAGTTTACATGAGACATGGTTGGCCAGGCGGCACAGAGCTCGTCTTTACAGTTAAAACAAGTTTTTTTTTTTTTTTTCCAGCTTTAAGTGAGTGAGATGTGACTGCACATTTATATGTGTATGTGTTAAATGTAGCAAGTTGCTTACGTGTACCCCCTAGTGGTGATTTTATGTAAGGACAGAGAAATTTCCAGGGGTAAACAGTTGTAGGGCACAAACACGTGTTTGTAATTTATTTCAGAAGCAGATTTAGAAAAATAAAACAACAAAAAAAACAAAAAAAAAGATATCCTCCTAAACTGTTGAGTAAAGCACATCAGTACTCATATTCATGTATACAAATATAAGCCAAAACCTTCCTGCCAATTACATGAATGCAGAATTTGTAGCGTGCACAATTTTACAGCCTGCAAGCTCCACAACTTTATCTCTGGTGTGTCCTTTGGTTTTCATGATGGTCACGTATTAGGAGCTCGTTTTAAATCAAGCATTCCTTAATACTGATGAAAAAGTGCTAGTTCCATTGGCAGATGTTTTCATTTATAACAAGACATTTTAATAAGTAATGTAATAAGTGAAATAACCTACCACTGGAACAATTACTTTTCATCCATATTAAGAGAGTATTGAATTAAAACAAGCTCATTTTATACAAAGATTAAACTGGACTCTACGTTCTTATAATGTACAGGTAGGCTACTTTTGAAGGCAATCAGCATTTGAGGAATCAGAATAAAACTGGAAAAAAATGCACACCACACTTTTTAGTTTTTTGTTGGTAAAATTGCATCATTTTTCTTACAACTTATAAAATTGTGCAATTATTTATCTTTTTTTTAAATAATATCTCATGAAAATTCATCAAAGATTGTGACAAAATGCGAAAATCGTCAAGTGATACACTTGCAGCACCACTTTGGACTTTCACTAAGCACTTCCTTCTTATATTTTAAAGACATTGAGGAGTACACCTAAGTGGGAGAATCCCACTTTTGGCTAATGTTCTGCATTTGGAACGTAATGTTACACTTCTCGGGACTGAATGAGACGTCGGTGTCGGCCTAATCGGCAGGTGGGATCAGAGAACTACCTACCATATTCAATACAGGTGATAGATTCCGAGCTGTGGAAAGCACCAGAAAGTCCACTCTAATAAAAGACTAAAATTTCAGTGGTCTCACCTGTGAAAACAAGTTTTGAATTTCACTTGCTGCCTTGCAGAAGTCCTTGACAGCGAAGGCTTTTGTAGTCTCTGGTTGCTACTTAAATTTTTGTCAAGTGTCAAGTCATATACGTTTTTGATGGACATCAAAAACTTATAATGAATTTGAAAACATTATCTGTACTGATTTTGACTCTGTAAAAGTTATTCTCAAACATTGCAAAACACCTGAAATATAGATAATGTAGCTATTATGTAGATATATTGGTAATATAGCTCTGTATTGTCTGTTGATATCAGATGACAGACAAACGTCTGTCATCTGATAGCTGGTTTAATAATTGGTTAATTTGGCGTAGCATAAAAGCTAAAGATTATATCTCTGAATTACTGTACAATATCACTTGTCATGTGGCACTGCTCATCAGAATCCGAATTATAGATTCAGCCTTATTTCATTAGTTACACTGACTCAACCCAAACAGAAGGACATTTATACTAAAAAAGTAACTTCCCAGTAAGGCTGTAAACCCGTGAGGGGCAACATATTTCCCTTTTCTCCAGTCTCTGTCTTTCTTTCTGTCAGATCACTGGACCTGAGCCCTGAAACAAACCTCTATAGACGATACTCCCACTTGGATTTTTAAGAATTATCTATTATTCTTCCCAAGCCTACAAAAAGATGCAAACTATCAGGTAAGAAATCTCTTGAGTACGTAAACAGCAGAAAAGTTCAACAAACCAGAGGGTAAATTTTGAAGGATTTTTTCAATGTGACTTCTTATTCCTCAGGTCTTTGTTCAATCCCAAGTGGTCGTCAGATGTTCGTCTTGAGGGGAAGACGGCCATAGTAACAGGGGCAAACACCGGAATAGGCAAAGAAATAGCCAAAGACTTAGCTGCTAGAGGCAAGCAGGCACAGTCAGATGTTTTCAGATTTAAAAAAAAATTACTTTCTTTCATCTGTTATTCAGATTATCCAGTGTGGAAAGTGTTTAAGTTGTAAAAAAAAAAAAAAAAAAAATAGTATATCAAATTGACTTAAATCAGATTTTAAGCCAATTTAATAATAGGAACATTGACTACAAATTGTTAATTTTTATGACAACCAAAAACAAAACCACAATGTTGCTCAAATA